ATGTCCTCTTGGCCTCATCTGTGTCTGTCCCATCCCTGCTGGCATCAGGTCAGGGAGAGCAGCCAGGGCTGCCCTGTGGGGAGGGGCTGGGAGAGCTGGGGCTGGGGAGGAGGAGGCTGAGGGGGGATCTGATCAGTGCTGGTCAATATCTACAGGGATGTCAGGAGGATGGGCCAGACTCTGCTCAGGGGTGTCCAGTGACAGGACAAGGGGCAATGGGACAAACTGGAGCACAGGAGGTTGAACCTAAATATGAGGAAATAGTTCTTGGCTGTGAGGGTATCAGAGCCCTGGGACAGGCTGCCCAGGGAGGCTGTGGAGTCTCCACCCCTGGAGACATTCCAGACTGATCATGTTCCTGTGGGATCTGCTCTAGGGGACCCTGCTCTGGCTGGGGTTGGACTGGGTGATCTCCAGAGGTCCCTTCCAACCCCCCTTCACTCCGGGATCCTGTGAATCATTCCCGGGCCTTGATGCAGTTTTCCAGCCGGGGCTGCACCCGGGAGCTCCCCCCGCCCAAAATTCTGCCCTTCCTGTTGCTCTCCTGGTTCGGACAAGTTTCTAAATCCATCTGGAACGTCTCTTGAATCCAACAGCAGGTTGGAGAAGTACGGAGAGGTGCTCGGACTGTTGCTGTCCGGGTGTTCCTGGAGTAGATTTCCCAGCGGGAAGGGGCGGGTTCCTGGGCAGGGAGGAGGCGCCGGGTGGCGAGTGGCTGCTGCCACCGGCTGGTCACGGGTCCCCCTGCACCCCCGGGCCGTGCTCGTGTTTATTGACGTGATCGTTTTGTTCGTGTGTCCCTGACGGGGTTTTTTTTTGGCAGTTTCCAGAGGGAGCAAAACGCAAATCAGACCTGAGAGCAAAGGGGAATATGGGGAGAAAGGTGGTTTATAGTTGTGGCTTGGGAGGAGGGAAGGGAGTGATGGGACAAGGGGGGATGGATTAAAACTGGAAGAGGGGAGATTGAGGTTGGACATGAGGAGGAAATTCTTGAGTGTGAGGGTGTGTCTGTCCTTTCTGTTTATCACTTCAGGTTTCCAAAAGCAGAGGGAGAATTTCCCTGGCCTCATTGGCCTCCTGAGGCCTCCTTGGAGCTGAGAATGGAGCTGGTGAGCAGACAGGACCCCCACCTGCGAGAAGTGCTGCGGTTTGGGCTGTGCTGCAGAGCCCTGACACTCCTCCTGCAGGCAAGTCTCCTGCTCCTGGAACAAAGCTGCTGCCACCTCTGCTCCTTGCTGCTCCACAGCTTCTCCCTGTGGGGCTGCCTTGTGCACCCTGAGCTGGCTGGGAAACCATCTCCTCCTCTGGAGAAGCAACAGACCAGCTGCATCCAGGGAGGCAGGAGCTGCTTGGTGACATTACGTACATTTCATAGAATCACAGGCTGGTTTGGGTTGGAAGGGACCTTAAAGGTCATCTAGATCCAACCCCCCTGCATGGGCAGGGACACCTCCCACCAGACCAGGTTGCTCTGGTCTAGAGGGGCCCTGGGCATTGGCTGCAGTTTGATCTGGGAAAATGTTATCCTCTAGCTCTGTCTCCTCTCCCTTGTACATCAGCTGGGACCATAATGCTCAACTGAGTAGAGCAGGAGGCTTTGCCAGTGCTGGAGAGGTACCTGGTGTGAGTGTGTCCAGGTAGATGTGCCTGAGCAGCTTTCCCTTCCAGCTTCCTGGGGATTCATGCTGGACAAGTTCTAGAGTTTCATTCAGTTTGGGGTTTGGCCCCAAAAGTTTCTGTTCACCCCTTGAAAGGTGCAAAGCTCCCCAGCCTGGCTTTGTAAGGGCATGTAGGGAACACAAGGGGTGATTCTTCAAACTGGCAGAGGGGAGATTGAGGTTTGACATGAGGAGGAAATTCTTGGGTGTGAGGGTGGTGAGAGCCTGGCCCAGGTTGCCCAGGGAAGCTGTGGCTGCCCCATCCCTGGCAGTGTTGAAGGGCAGGTTGGATGGGGCTTGGAGCAGCCTGGGCTGGTGGGAGGTGTCTCTGCCCTTGCAGGGGGTTGGATCCAGATGATCTTTAGGGTCCCTTCCAACCCAGACCAGTCTGTGATTCCATAATAGGATTGTGCTGCCCTTTGAAACCCGGGAATCCTGCTGCCTGCTTTCGGTGGGTTACAGGAGCATCCCTGCTGGATTTCAGCCCTCTCTTCTTCTTCTTCCAGGCCCTGTTTAACCTCCTGATCCCAGACCACGCTGCAGATGCCTTCTCTCCCCCTCGCCTGACGGATCCTGGCCTGTGGGACCTGCTGGTGGAGCAGCTGCTGGGGGGGCTGTCCCGCTGGGACGCCGAGCACTTCCTCTTCATCGCCGAGCGCGGTTACCTGTACGAGCACAACTGTGCCTTCCTCCCCCTCTACCCCCTCAGCCTCCTCACCACGGCCTGGGTTGCCCTCTGGCCCTTCCAGCAGCTGCTGTGCCTGCGGAGCCGCCTCCTGCTCTCAGCCCTGCTCCTCAATTCCCTCTTTTCCATCCTGGCAGCCCCTGCCCTGTTCCAGCTGGGCTGCTCCGTGCTGCGCTGCCGCCGGGCGGCTTTCCTTGCTGCCCTTCTCTTCTCCATCAGCCCTGCCAATGTTTTCATGGCAGCTGCTTACTCGGAGAGCATGTTTGCCTTCCTGGTGTTCACTGCCATGTGGCAACTGGAGAAGGGGCAGAGCTGGCTCAGTGGATTGCTCTTCTCCCTGGCTTCTGGGGCACGTGCCAACGGGATAATTAACTCTGGATTCATTCTCTACTCAAGCTGCAAACGCTTTGCCCTCCAGCTCCAGGTGGGTTCAGGATCCCTAAAGAAGCTCCCTCTGGTGTGGAAGCAACTCCTGAGCGTGGCATCTTCAGCCCTTCTGATGTGTGCTGGGATTTTCCTGCCTTTTGCTTTATTCCAGTATTATGCCTACGTGAGGTTCTGTGATCCCAGCCTGGAGGAGCCTGTTCCCAAGCCACTGCTGCAGCTGGCTCTGGACAAGGGCTATCGACTGCCATCCACCCAGGGGATTCCCCCTCCTTGGTGCTCCCAGAGATTCCCTGTGGTCTATTCCTATATTCAAGACACTTACTGGAATGTGGGCTTTCTCAGGTATTTTGAGCTCAGACAGATCCCAAATTTCTTGCTTGCTTTTCCTGTCACATTTCTGGGCTGCTGGGCTGCCTGGACCTTTGTCATCACAAACCCCCGGCACTGCCTGACCCTTGGTCTAGAGAGAAGAAAGAGTGAAGAAGAAGGCAAACCAAGAGCTGGATTTTGTTCCTCTGCTGTCTTCGTGTACGTGGTTCATGCCACTGTCCTGCTGGTGTTTGGATTCTTCTGCATGCACGTGGGACCTTCATGGCCAGACATGGAAGTGATTCCTGAAGGGTGGAGAGGTGTCCACCATGGTGACAGTCACAGCCTGTCCCATCAGCAGGGCAATGCAGACCAAAAGCTTTGCCTTTCCTCTCTTGGAGCTACTTCTAGAGTTTCCAAAGCCAGTTTGTTGCTCTGATGGAGAGTTTTTCCCAATGAGTGCTTGCCAGTCTGATGAGAGACACTGGGACAGGGATCTAAGGGTCTGGGCTGGTGTTGGGAGGCGTTTGACATGTGTGTAAGGCCAGGCTGGCCAGGTCCTGTCCATCATCTGGTGGAAAACAGGGATACTGGCTCTTTACCATGTTGGGCTGAGCCTAATGGGTGGCAGTGAAAGGATACAGAGCCTGTCACCAGCCCCAGGAAAGTGTCTGAAGGTCTTTTAGGACACATCTGGTGGCATTGAAGGTTGGGACTTCCAGTGAAAATATATCCCTGCCTCGGGATCAAGGATAGACACAGTTGGAGACCTTCATTTTATGGTTTGTTTTTTTCCCTGCCTGTCATCTTCAGGTGCTGACCCGCTTCCTTGGCTCCTCCTCTCCTGTCCTGTACTGGTTCTGTGCTCACCTGCTCCAGGAGCACGAACCTTTGCTCTGGAATGAAGGGACTGATGGTCAAACCACAGCACCTTGCACCAAGAAACCTGGACAATCTCCTGATTCCTGCAGGGAAGGGCCTTCTGGAAACCCTCTCATGAAGCTGCTGCTGGGCTACAGATGCATCACCCCCCTCAGCAAGTGTGTCCTGGGATTCTTCCTGTCCTACTGGCTGCTGGGCCTGGTTCTGCACTGCAACTTCCTGCCGTGGACGTAGGACGGGGTGTTCATGGAATCACAGACTGGTTTGGGTGGGAAGAGACCTTAAAGATGATTTAGACCCAACCCCCTGCATGGGCAGGGACACCTCCCACCAGCCCAGGCTGCTCCAAGC